TCAGTTTCAAATGCCAGTTACTAGTGGCTTTAAAAACTTTTTTTACTGCTGTTTTCCAGTCAGAAACAACAAAGTCATGTCTCATTTTAAGGATCGTCGAAAACTGTTTAATAGTATCACAATACTGCTGTTGGTGCATATTGTGGAGCATTTAATTTTTTTCTTGATTTGTCCAAAAACCCTATCTGGGGGCAAAAATGAATGTCTCACAATTGCAAAGCATTCCTATCATGGAGCTATTTTTTATTTTGCCCCGCACATCCATCAGCTACTAGTCGTACAATTTTAGTGTTCACAGGGAATTCAAAAGTTGAAAGTACAATACATGATAGACTGCTATTTTGTTCGACATTTGTTGTCGATCTGCTTCACTCCACAAAAAAGATCTTACCCAACTTAGCTTGTGAGAGTTCCAATATTAACGTCAAGTTATATAGGTTTATCTGCATTCTGAAATAACACGCTTGGTCTGGGATTTTTGGTAAATATGAATTCTATTGGCAATCAGGAGAAAAAAATGGTAACTTCTTGGTTATCTTCTTTGAATAGTTAGTAAAATGTCTGAACGCGTACTTTGTGAACACGATGTTCTGTTATCAATCGATTCTTTTTTACTACATCTAAACAATTTTTAAGTGTTTCGGAAACTTGTAGGCGTATGGAACATACACCAACCTTGAGGGAGCCAAATCTAATATTGTAGTTTTTCACAAGAAATTTTACTGAAAAAGCATTCACGCACTTGTAAAGGCTCTTCTACACGTGAATTGTATATTTTCCACAATTTCACGATGGACAAATCACAGGGTAATATCTGCGAATCACGTTTCTGTTATGTGAATGTGAGTCTCTCAACAATTTAATGATTCGATGAAAGTTTTCACCGCTTCTCTTTTGGCACTATTTCTGTGCGATATATGGTCACCACTTCTTACATCTTCTGGCATCGTTCCTGTTTATTGTACTTTTTCAAAATTATTGTTTATGTTTAAAATATCCATGAATGTTTTTGTGTACACAAGCACCTCTCTGTGCCTGCATTTTGCAGTATTTTTAATATTTTACAGTTTTCCCCTTAATTTTTTTTGCCTCCTCCATTTATCATTTTCAGTGTACAATATTTTAAAATGAATAAATTCTGGAAATTTTTCTCCATTTCAGAGTAAAATGTTTCATTGAAAATTAAATTTCGATCATAGAAAGCGAATTACATTCTAACTTTCTGGAAAGGTGTTTGCATTTAGGTAATTCTGGTAACTGCTCGAAATAAAAATTAATTTTTTTTGCAAAGAATAAACTTATAATCATGAATGTTTACCTCTGCCTTTTTGTAACTTCGCGTTTCCACTGATTTTTGTTGTGGAGTTTCGTCCTGCTTTTGCTCGGTGGGCACTGTTGAACTGGAGCGTCCATAATGCAGGATAGTGGAAGATCAAATTAATTAATCTATTGTTTTGTAAAATATAAGTAAATAAAACAATGAGCAATAACACACACACACACACCCGACACAATAATAAAAACATTCATATTCGCCATGTTGATGTCTGCGTTTACAGTTAAGTCGATATGTCCGAGATGCGTAAACTCCTTTAATGACCTCGAGATATGTCTGCTTTTGCATTTGAGTCTAAACTATAAAGCATGAAAAGTCATTTAAATTGTCTACTTTTGGATTTCAGATCCCAATCAGGGCATATAAAATTAAGCCATAAACACAAATAGCTCATTTTCGACAAAACTGTCAAATGTCTGGTTTTGCATTTATACGCCTCATTTATGGTTGATCATTTGATGAAAAACAGTGAATTTTAATCTTTATTTTTTTCTGTTAATTGTCTTTGTATACACTGATACACAATAATTACATATACTATACTCTGTTCACTTAAACTTTGTGGCGTTAGCTAGGATAGAAAACAAAATGCACGCAAAGTGCAAAGTTCTTATAGCGCTTCATTTTCATGTTTATTTTATAAGCATCGGTCGTGGTTGAATGTTTCAGTCACTTAAGTCCAACCCAACACTGAAAAGTTAAAGTGAATAGAGTTTAATAAGGTCATAAAAATTGCATTATTGATGGTTAATGCTAAAAATTATGGAAAATGACAACAAATGAAATAAGAAATTTAAGTTACGAATAACATATAACAAGCAGTATAGCACAATCACTTTCAAATCTAGTACATCTATAAGAGTGGGCAAAATATTGACACTACAGAAAGTGTCGATACCATTTTCAGTATTGAAGTATCGACACCAAAAAAATTGTAGTATTGAAGTATCAATACTGATTCCTGGACGATAACTACACCTTGTATTAATAATTCATACCGATACTTGGTATCGATTCCTCGATATCCATATCTGTTACGGACCACACGTCTCGTTAATTGTGATATTATTAATTATCTAATTAACGAGTCCTCTGTTTATGAATTGCTACCATCAAACATTTTTTGAGAATCAATTTTCTTCTCAATGTGAAAAATGTAATAATGATTACATAGATATAGATAGATATATATTTATTATGCTGGGTAAAATATCGATACATAGGAAATTATTGACACTATTTTAAGTATGGATACAAATTTGTTGGTGTCGACACCTCGATACTGATAGCTGGTATCGCACCTTGATACCAATTTCAGATATCAACATCTGTCGTTATCAATTGGTTTGGTGGCAGATGAGGGTGGTTTTCACCCTCTATGGGGGTGCGTTTCATACCGATAGGATGAACGCTGTAATTTACCTTTATTTTTATCGTAATACATTCAATTTTTCCCGAAAATATTAAACAAAACGATTGATTAAAATGATAACATCATTTTCAGAGCGTTATCTCATATATACCCTATTCAGGGAGTGTTTTTTGGCTCTAACATTTTTTTTGGGGGTGTACGACTTTTCTTGACTCCGGATTCGGAATCAGCGATCAAAAATTCAGAAGGATATACTCGTCTCGTTGCTAGGTCTGACATTTTTTTTTTGTGGGGCTGTGTTATCTAGTCACACGCCATCGCGTGCTCTGTTCCACCGAGCCGGCCTTACAAAGCATTTTAAGACAGATTAAACATGTTTCCATGCAGCTTGTGCAAGAACTAAAGCCATGGGATCCTCAGGATCGCTATAATTATATGCAGTTCGTTTCCTCCAACTGGCCCCTGAAGAAAATGAGTTTATTCATAATCTGATAATGAGTAATGAGTCTCATTTTCACTTAAATGTGTTCGTAAATATGAGCAACTGAAACCCGACAACCAATCATTAGCGACAATTACATCTGTGCAGGGTTACCTCCAAAACAAAGACGGTGCAACAGTAACCGTAATTGAACACATTTTATGGAGCCAGCATGGTGGGCCATCAAGAGATGTGATTCCAGTATATGGCGTCGCAGCTCACACGGTCCGACCACTATGGAGATTTTGAGGGACATCTTTGACGAACGTCTCATTTTTAGAAACTTTGCCTTTAACTGACCTTTACGTTCACCGGATTTGACAGTGTTCGATTATTTCATATTTGAAGGAGAATGTTTACATGTCAACGACTATCTTTAGCTGAAGAACAGTATCAGGGAAGAAATGTGAGCATGAGGTCGAATATCTCTAGAAGTGTGATGGAAAATACGCTTTGTGAAGTTGAAAATGACTGTTATTTACGTGGCGTAATCTTTCACATTTAGTTAAAAAAATCTCCATTTAATAAATTTATTTTGTAAAAAAATAGAAAACTATTAAAACACAAAAAGTTATTAATATTTCAAAATCCTTCGTGTCTTTTTCGCCACCCTGTAAAAAGTGATCCCGTTTATGACTCAAAAACGTACAGGATCGATTTAGGACATGGAACTAAGAAAAAGAGATACTTTTATGCCTAAAAATATTCCTTGGGAGATACGGGTAGTTAAATAATATCTATTTATATTTGTTTAATAAGTCATAATTTATACACCAGTTTATTTTTTTAATTTTTTGTTTAACAACTAAGAGGGAAACTGTGTAATTTGCGTTGTGAGTGGTTATTTTGTTGACTTCCAGTGAGGATGTAATGGGTTTCGTTGTCCCTATTTTTACCAATATGAATGAATGATAGTCAAGACATTTTTTATTGTCTTCAATCTATCAATTTTAAATGTAAAAAGAAATATAACAAATGTTCATATTTTGAATTATTTAATTAAAATATTTTTTAAATAATATGTTCGTGTTTTCCAACCCCCTGAGGAATTGCAAAGAAATAAAAAGCGTTGTACAGCAAGTTAGGGGTCTTCGTTTTTGTATTGTAACTGGAGGGAATCATTTCTTAAATGCTAGTTTTCTCTTTCGCGAGTCAACATTTTTTTCTAATCTCAACATTGGTTTGCTTCCTAATACTACCAGTATGAGTGCTATTATATTTTTGATAAATAGCGCGGAACGGGAAGAGATATCGAAATGGGACCTTCACCATTGGAATTCTCCCAAAAATTGTTTTTACACTTTTTTCAAGGGGCGTTGCTTCCTTAATAGCTGAAGTCTCAGATACAGTAAAAACTTTTTTGGAGCAAAATTTAACGTAGAATGTATTTTAGAGACAAAATAGTCTAAGCCTCTTTGATTTTTCTCTACAAGAAACACTTGCATTTGTATGCATTTGTACGAAGTAAAGAAAATGCAATTAATTTCGCTTTATGTGTTTCCCAAAGAGGCAAAACCCCCTGATTACAAGCAACTTGGGCCACACTATATATAATTTATTGTTCTCTTTCTGTTCTCAAAATAAATTGTGCATTAACAACAAATAAATACGATTAAAAACAGTAATACGAACAAACACCATTTACTAGAATTCTAGTCAATGGCGTTTGTTCGTATTAAACGCCACTGGTAATACAACCCCTGAAAGTATATCAAGGTACCTTATGTGGAAGAGGGCTATATATTTAAAGGCAATAGATACACCCAATGTCCGAGTATGCATTACCAATTTCTGGTTTAGAAAAAAAATCCTAGCTCCTCGACCGGGGATCGAACCCGAGACTCCATAGTGAGAGGCAAGTGTCCTTACCATTCGACCACGAAGCTACTGTTTTCAATCGTATTTATTTGTCGTTAATGTTTATGTTTAAGTTTTTGGAAAACATATAATTTTACAAAAAAAGCTAATTTACATAGTCCTGAAGGTAATTCAAAATACACGAAACGTTGACTAAGTAAAACTTGGATGCTCCTTTCTGCCGACATTATCCCCACTTTGTTAATAATATAATATTTACAGATCAGAATCGTACAATCAAGAAGTTGTTGAATACGTATATAAAAAAAATTAAACTTGTAACGACGAAATTAAAGGATCTGTGAGAAAAGGGGTTTTCGTTAATTCTTAATAACTGTTATTTAATCCCCTTCGACAATGGGGAAATTAAATATAATAAGTATGCTTGAATCTAGAACTTTCATGTATGTTTCGAATTTATGACCAAAATGATTAAAAATTCTGATGGTAGCAATTGGCATCTTAAAAAAAACGTGTTAAGGAGTTGAACTAACTTATAAAAAAGCTTTTATTACAAATCCTTTTTATGAAATTTAAAATAAACAATTACATTGCATTCATTTGTTACGTAAAAATTTATTAATAGATAATTTTTTTAAATTCTCTTTTGGTTAATAGGTAATTATTAAACATTTTATGGTAATAGCTGGTATATTGCAGCTGACCTCCTTGTAAATGTGATTTTAGTTGTTTACTGTAATAAATGTATACATGTTTGTTAGAGGTTTATTGATTTTAATGCGATTTAAATCAATTTTCTTGAAACTGAAAATAACAACTAAACAAAAGACGTAGGCCGTGAAATAGTTTCTCTTAAATCAGTTCCTCATGTGTAGCTATTTACTATCTGAAAATATAATTCAGTTAAAATATTTAAGTTTCACCAGCTCTGTCTTTTAATAAAATTTAAATATATTCATTTGTAAAAATCTTGTTTAAAACTGGTAAAATTATAGTTATTTTTTTTAATTCGTAGCTGTAATGATCTGAAAGACGTTTTGGCAGGATCACACTTAACACCTTCAGCTTCTTGCTGATAATTTACTAGGTTTTTTCATAGCTTGATCTGCTTAGTTACTAAAAAATTGTTGGAACTCCCAAAAATAATTTTTCTTTTTCAGAAACTTTCAGATTTTAACTTCTGATGCAGTGAAGATTGCAATTAATCCACATCCATATTGAGGGGTTATGTAATTCTGCAAGTTATACCAAAACGTAATAATATAGTTGCTATAATATTATAAATTTAAATTTTTTTTATTGCATTTCTCGACGAATCTCGACGAATTATAATGAAAAAAACATAACATTATGAAAAAAAATCTGTCCGCATGTCTGTAGTATCGCGATAGCAGACACAGTTTTTGAGATAAAGCTTCAAATTTGGTACACTTGTTCTAAAGGCCAAAGACAATGAAAAAATTCGGTGATAAGCAAAATTGGCCAGCTGAAAAGTTTGAGTCCCGTGGACTCCCTCTACGGGACCCAAACTTTTTTGTATTTGACTTTAACAAAAAAATATATTCTTGATGAAAGATTATAAATCATGTCTAGTATATCAAGCGAATAAAATATATTTTCCAAGTACTTAAATAAAGCTGATGTAAACTGAAATATTTTACACATTTGGCCTCATAAAATGGGGTTAGGATAAATTTAACAGTTTGACATTTGAAATGTCTAATTTAGTTACAAAAATGTCAATGTCAATAAGAGGAAATTATTAAAATACGTATATGACATGAATTATTATTGAGAGTATCGATGGCGCTGATAATTAATTATTTAAAAATTTTAATGAAACATTTCAAGGTTCGCTATTAAAATTTAATTGAGGTAAGTGAATAAAATAGAATGAATTTTTTAGATCAGGATGATATATACTGATATAAGAAAGTTACGTGCTGGCCACATCAGATATTTTATTTTAACGATGCCGGCAATAAACAGAATTGTAGGTACTGGAACGACAAAAATCCACATCTTTTCAGGGACACACAGAGTCCTAAAAAATTTAATTTTGTGCCGGCATTCTGGGAGATCATATCGTAGGATCTTTCTTTGCATGAAAATATATATTTCGATCTTCTAGAGAAAGAGATAGACTCTATGATTACGTCAGTATTAGAAGATGAAAATATTGTAGAAGATACACTATGGTTACAGCAAGAAGGAGCTCTATCACATTTTGTTGTTCTTGGACGGGAATTCTTGAATCAGTGATTTCTCAGCAGATGGATTGGAAGACGAGGTGCAATCGAGTGGCCAATTAGGTTACCCGATCTAGCCCCACTTGATTCTGTTCTTTGAAGTCATATGAGGTTCAAAATCTATGTGACAAAACCAGGAAGTCTAAATGAACTAATATCACGAATACTTCAAGATAATTTTGAGCAATGATTATAGTATTGTATGGAAGGTGAGGATCGTCATTTTGAAATAATTAATTAGATGATTTTTTTATTGTGATTTGTTCCATAAAACAACATGCAATTTGGCTACGTTTTTGCTTATTTTTGTTTTTTCTTCTTTATTTAAACAATTCCATTAATTCTTGTACTAAATGCAACTAGAATATTTTGAAAAGTACTTGGACATAAATAAAAAAAACTACATCGTTGGACAACTTTTCATTGATCGCTCGACTACACTTTCATATGAAATTTTAAAGAAAGTGGTTGTAGAGAGTAGGAGGTTGAAATAGCCAATATAAATTGTGTCCAAAGATGCCTTCCTTGTGATACAAATTTATTTTTCTTAAAACGACTTTTCCCCGGTTTATTATAGGTCCTTTGTTTTAAATTAGACACTGTATTAATATGCATACAATACACACTTTTTCATTATTTACTAAGTCTTATCGACAATCAATGAATGGAAAATTAGTGAAAATATCTACTTATAATGGAGTATAATAAGTATAAATGTTACGATAAAGAGTACTAATTATAGTATATTTTACTTTATCGTTAAGACACGTTTTTAGTATCATTTGCAATATGCACTATTGTAGATAATGAGTTGCGATTATCCAATATTATAGAATATTTTCTATTTGCCGATATAATTATTTACGTGGCAAGGGCGTAGAACGCGTGGCGTTATCTGGGGGTTGACCTTTTATACCTTAGGATGCACTGTACGCTCTAGGGGCAAAATTAATGCACTTTACACCCTTCATGCGAGCTAGAACGTAAGCCACATAATTTATTACTGTTGCTGCAAGGAATGTTGTATTTAATCTTCGACAATACCTTTTTTAAGTTACCGTAGCTGGGCCTTAACCAGAATTAATCATTAGGCAAGGCTCATTCTCTTCTTGCCAGGGCTAATATATCTCAATAGGAGGATATCTATGGCTTTTAAGGAAACCGAGGGTATAGTTATCTTAATACTGTTTATCTGGTTTATCATATATTCATATGAGAGAAAATACAAATTGTGCGTTTAACATTTTTAATGAGGGATTATTAAAACATAACAAAAACGAAAGAAAAACATGACAAAAACGAAAGAAAAACATGACGAAAACGAAAGAAAACATAACAGAAACGAAAAGAAAACATAAACATTCTTTCGTAATACAAAATAAATTATATGCAATAACGAAAAACATCCTGGAAAGTAATTTAACAAATTTTGTTTATTTAGGTATTTCTTATAAGAAAAAAACGGCACCTGTTATTGAGAATTACAAATCGTTAGCATCTTTTATACCGAAGAAAAATATTATTATTGTGAATTTTTTTTCAAAAACAAATCAAGATTAAGTGATTCCGTTCTTTGCCTCTAAAGACGTCGCGAATACAAAAAGCGAGTCACACCAGGAATAATGATGTAAATTGCCAGAGCACGAGGTGCTATCCTTACATATCGATCTAGAAAGATCGATTCCCTGTAGATCACCATTGCGCAAGATCGGTGACGTAGTCTAGTAGAACAAAAATTCTAAACCGTTCTAGAAACCAATCCCGAACTTTTTTACACTGTCACGTATAATATGGACCTTTTATATGATGAACCGTCTTTTTCACAATATAAATAAATTTTTGATAAAAGCCGCCAAAATTTAAGTCCAAAACATTTAGAACAAATATCAGTAACATAATTTTACTCTTATAATTGGTAGTTACAAATACATGTATTTGTGTTAGTGTTATATTCACCATCCCTCTTCAAGACTTTATTCATAATTAATTAATGATAATGTAACGTTGGACGTTTTGGAACTCATTAAATAAAGTTACAAGGTAAGATTACTATATGCACGAATATTTTTGCGCACGCGGTTCCCAGCACCTAGAGCCAACCCTGCTTTTTACGTCATGAATACCTGAAATCCTCACCCTAAAATTTATCAAAACCAATTCCTTTATATTCTTGTTTTAAACAAATCTTTAATTACATTTTTTTTTATTGTTTTATAATGATAGATAATAAATGGCGATAATTGCCAAGAATTTTATATTTTATTACAACAGGTCTTTAAAAAAGTAAACTCAGATAATTGATTTATGAAAAGGATAATTATACGTACTAAAATTGCGTTTTAAAAAAATGCAATTTATCGAAAACTTTTATCTCCTTTTATGAAATAAAATGAAAATTTTCCGCCTTCGGATATTAGTGGAATTACGAGTTTGGTTTTTGCGATGCAATTCATTTTTTATTTGTCTCATCTCACTCTAGTTGTTTTCTTCATGTTCACATAGATTATATACACTTACAATCTTTGATTTTCACCAGGTAGGTGTCCTATATAAAACTGTAAATTGCTGTTCAGCTTTTTCTATCAATGATAACGATAACCAAAACCGAAAACAGTTGTCTCATTTTAAATAACATGGAGACTTGTAGGTCAAATTATTGGCAAATCTGATGGCTATGTTATTTTATTAATACGATAAATAACGTTTGTAAAACAACACTAAATTCAAATTCATTTATTAAACATAATATTAATATGAGGGTAGCACCTAAGCCAGAAAAGGCTTGTTTTGTGCTAATATCTATCAATTAGAATATTTAA